GCGCACTTTTGTGTACGATTAGGGACCTGGTATTTTTCTGGCCGTTTGCTCGCTTGCTGTCCCTAGCGTCCGCCTTTTCCCATCCTCCTTGCCAGCCTGCCGACATTGAGGCAACTCTTTCCTTAAGAGGTGTCAAAAGCTCACGATGTGCCGGGCGCCCATTCTCGCGACCATGTAGCCACGGCATCGGGGTAGTCTTTGAGCTCGTCATGGCTGCATTGGCTGCCATTCTTTCTCTCGTGGCCGCTCTAGTAGCACTCATTGGCCTCAACCGCCTCTGCAAGTCAGTAACGAGTGATGGCTTGAGCTGCAAAGAAGCCTTTAGCTATTACCCCAAGGAGTACAAGCAAATGTACAACTACCTGTCCGTCGCCTCAGATGCGGCCTGGGCCTACACCGTTGGGTGGATCTTCATCTCCTTGATTCTCCTCTGGCGTGTGAGTGTCGAACCTAGCGCCTCTCCCTTATTCGCAACATCCTTTCAACTCTCCTCTCTCATTCTCCTTTGCTCATCTAATATTTGCATGGCGCCGCAGTTTTGCGCTGCTCACAGCGCCAAAAGCAAGGACAACACATCCTACGAGTTTGAAAACCCAAATCGTGCCCGCACTGATTCAGTGATCTGAACGGACTCAATGGTCAGGATCAATTCGATTTGCCCAGCGCTCTTGTCGCTTGCTTAGCTCGAGCTGTAGCGCCGACTTTACAGTCAAAGCCGGGGCGTCGTTGCATCTCCCTTTGATGAGCTATAGCTTCAGTGCAGCCCTTTGGCTTTCCTTTGGTTGCTTTCTGTTTCAACAGTTGCTTTTATTTTTTCTTTTTTTTCTTTTTGGTTCTTCCTCCGGGAAGGGTGGGATGTTTGCCTGATGGACATGCCGCGGCTCTTAAGGCATGCCCGTGATTCCATCCCACCTTCGTTTTGTTGTGCGATTTGTTTCTTCTCAACGTGTGATGCTCAGCTGTGTGTACGCATCCACCTTTGTGCTGATGATTTTATGCTTCTCCAAAGCGGGGTCGATCAATCAGATTATCACAATGTCTTGTAGACTTGTGCACAAGTTGCAAACCATCGCCTCACAATGTGTCACACAGTATCAACTCGTCAAGGCCTTGAGAAGCAAAACGCTCAGAGCCATGCACACTCGGTGACGATACAATGAAAATGAAGACAAGCCAAGCGTGTCAGCTTGGGGGCGGCATCAAGCCATGCCATACTGCCCGAGGTCACACATGATAGCATATGTACAAAGGGCAAGGCATGCAGAGCACATTGGCTCGCACAAGATCATAGACCCATCAACAACGACAACCAAGAAAATGTAAATGAAAAAAAAAAAAAAAATGGGGCAACAAGCGTGTGAGAAGACAGGTCACCCTAAGCCTCGGCTTCAGTCGAGTCGATGGGATCGGCGCTGTCGCCTTCTTGATAACTGTCGCCCGTCTTGTTGTGGCGTTTGAGCCAAAAGTACTGGGATAAACATGCCAGTTGTAAGCATTCGATCGGCTCGGAACCTGGTTAATCACCCAACTTAACCCACACCCCACCCCCAACAACCTCATTCGATAGCCAGCTAGCTCCGGCCCGATCAGCCGAGCAATGTGGGTGTACCTCAAGCGCAATGGTCACGGCAAGAATGATGAAGCACACCGTGTAGACCCAGGTGGTCTCGACAGCAGTCCGGGCATTGCGCGCCGCCCGGATCGACTTTTTATCGCCGCCTGTAGCGATATCCACCGCATCGATGCAGTCCACATCATTGCCCCGGCTGATTGATTTGCAGTACTGCGCAGCAGCCGACAACGGGTCAGCTCAAGCAGATTTGCAAGCACAGATCGGAAGCCAGGTCCATGGGCGATTGTGAGGCGGCTACCTGACTGTAGTTGTAGGAGGCTGTAGCACTACCACACAAGGTGAAGATCAGCATGATGCAGATGATCCCAAACTCAATGCGCAAGGTCTGTGGCACGCTGTTGAAGCGTAGCCACGATCAGGTTTTTTGCAAAACATTGGCAAGCGTGAGCACGGGGTGAGCGCCGATCAGAATACAACCGCCGGAGCTCGCAAACAATGCTGGTCGCGATCGCACAACGTACGTCCACTCATGCGTAAAGAAAATCATGTAGATGATGTATGCGACAGCAAGGGCAGCAATCAGAGCCGAGGTGACGCCACAGAATTCAACGTATTCGCAGGGACTCTCTCGGTTATCCGAGCTGCCTTGTCGCACAGACAGGAGGCAGTCAAATGCTCCATTGCTCAAATCGTTGGTCAAGCTGCAATTGTTTCAAAGCAAAGACGAGCCCCCACGAGATTGAGGTGTACCATGCGCGTTGAGACAAACCATGCCACCCACGAACCGACTGCTTGTTGCAATAGTGCCTGCTGCAATAGAGGCCAGGAGCAGGATCAGCAAGTAGAGGCCGATCCGCATATAGTCGGTCAGCGTCAGCCCTTTGTAAGTCCACGTACACAACCCCATGACGGCTGGTTCCTAGCATCGCGCCCGAACCAGGTCAAATGCAGAGGTCAGTCACTTCCACCCGACAGCACACATCATGCTCATCCCCCCCCCAACCGCTCAATCTTGCAACCCCGTGACTCGTCCCGAGCAATACGAGCGTTACCTTCTGCTGCTCCGCGTCCTCAAGAGAGAAAAAAAAATCTATTTGATTTACATGTTAGCACGACGATAAGTAGAGACTTTGCTACATAAACTCATGGTTTAATACCACTATGTGTATTAACAAAGTCGAATGCTTTCTACATAAAGTACCAAAGATCACATCAAA